CCAGAGTGACCTGACCCCTGTAGCTTCAGAAGATACCTGCATACAGTGGCATATACCCACACACTAAAACATAAATAAAAACAAAACTAAATTTAAAAATTGTTTTTTTTTTTAAAGTTCTCTTGTGAGGTAGAGGCAAAGTGGCTATACATTCAAGGCCAGCTTGGACTGGGATAGTGGGACTCTGTCTCCAACACACACACACACACACACACACACACACACACACACACACACACACACACACACACACGATATTGAAGATTCAAGTGAGAAAGTGGAGGACTCATATGAACACACCTACAGGCTCTTCAGATGATGGGGGATGTCCTTCTGTATATGTTTCTCTTACTGGTTGATGACTAAAACACTGATTGGCCAGGAGCCAGACAGGAAGTATAGGTCAGGCTACCAGATGAGGAGAATTCAGGGTATGGGGAGGACTCAGAGAGGAGCCTCCAGGGAGAAGCCATATAGCTGCTGGGAAGATAGGACACTGGGCATTCTCTGGTAAGATAAGGCCATGTAGAAATACATAGATTAGTAGCTGTGGATTAAAAAATTAAGAGAGAGCTAGTCAGAAGCCTAAGTCATCAGCTAAGCCATTTATAATTAATATAAGCTTCTGTATGTTTATTTGGAGATAAACATCTGTGGATCTCTCTCTCCCTCTTCCCCCCTCTCCCTCCCTCTCCCTCCCTCTCCCTGCCAGTTCATTTCCTTTTTCTCTCTCTCTCTCTCTCTCTCTCTCTCTCTCTCTCTCTCTCTCTCTCTCTCTCTCATTGAAGTCAGACATTCCCTGAATCAGGATTACCCTCTGCCACTTTTTAACAGGAGAAAGCCATATTTATAGCACATGAATAAAACATTAGCCAACCCTGCTAAGTACTGACAGTGACCTAAAGCTAACTGTTGCCCAGGGACCAACCTGCTTTGTTCACACAAACTCTGACTGCTGATTCAAGAGGGATGCCAGCCAGCTTGGTTTGCATGAAAGAATGAGAAGAAGGAACATCCCCTAAAGAGCTCTATCACTGTTGTGAGCTAATGAGGCATTAATATTTCAGATACAAACAAGGATGTTGAGGTTGTGTTAAGGAAGTAGCTAAGACTCACTGATCATTGTCTATGTACTGCTTGGTGTATACATTGTGTCCTCACAACACATTCAAGGAAATACAATGATATGTCCATTTGCAGATGTGAATATCACAGCTCTGCATGTTGCCACTTCTCTCAAGTGTGGAAGAGGGGTTGACCTTACTGTTCTGACTCTGAAGTATACTTGTGTTACATACCATTGCTTCTCAGATTTAACATGGGGTAGGAAGAGGTACAGAAATGAAAGGTGGCTGCCTATGATAGCACTGATTCCTTATCAAGATGATCATATTGTGTGTCCTCCCAAATGCAGCAAAACTACAAAGACTTCATCAACAAGGATCAAAGAGAAAGGTGAAACTTAAGAGAAAGGTGACAGTCTATGCTTGAAGTGCTGTCCTGAGGAGGGCTAAAGGTCTTGTCTGTTGTACATAATCAAGTTCAGATGGGACCAATGGTTGAAACATTGGGGTATGGAGGCCAATTTAATTTGAAAGAGTGTTCAGTATACATAACTGGATAAATATGTGTCAAATGAATTAAAATCTGATCAACAAAGATATTACTGAGTATTCTAGCTACTGAGTTCCCCATCAATAGATATTTGGGAAGACATGGTCTCACATTATTCTTACCATCCTTGGGGATGTTATATAATAGCGAAATAAGCTACTCTCTAGATGCCAGACACTATAATGAAACACATTACAATTCTCATTTCACTATTCCCCAAGAACAGAAATAGGATTGCAGAGGTTAAGGCAGGCTCAATATTACAGATGTTAAGTGGTAGTGCTGGGATTCAAAACCGAGGCTCTCATTATCTTCATGCTTGTGGCCTGGCTATATCAGAAAACTGCCAGGTTCTTTTCCAGTTATGATAAATTTATGCCTAAATCTTATATATATCTGTGTTGAAGGTTAGTACATGAACAAGGAAGATTTTTCTTCTCCAGCAAACACCAGTTTCCATGGAAATTGTATCCAAGGCTACTGGGCATTATGACAGTTATATGTTCAAGCTAATACCTGTCCTGTCATCGACAAGACAAAGTCCAAACTCCTTAGCATGGTACTTAACATACAGTTGCTTGCCCCTCAGTATCTATGGGGAATTGCTTCTGGAATCCCTTGCAAACACCAAAGGCTACAGATGCCCAGATTGCTTTATAACACAGAATGTATGTAGAACTTACATACCTCCTCCCACACACCTCACCTCCAGCTTATTAGCATGCTTAGTGTGGTACCAACGCATGTAAATGGCTCTTACACCATGTGTTCAGAGCATAAGGACAAGAAAATGTTTTTACATTCTGTCTCGGCAGAGAGAATCTATTCCAAACTCTTTTCACCGAAGGTTTATTTGAATCTATAGATCAGAACCTACAGCTATAGATGGCTGGCTGTATTTTACAATCTGAATATATCAATTATTTTTCCACATCAAGATACTTTCTGTCTGTTTATCCCTCTTTATTACTACCTATATTCAACACATTTTTCCCATCTTGGTTTTTTCCCCCCCTTAGTCCTTCATTTTTTGAGACAGGCTCTCACTATGTAGCCCAGGCTGTCCCTGAACCTGTGTCAAGTCTCCTGTCTCAGCCTTCTTAGTGTTTAGATTACAACCATGTGCTATTGTACCCAGTTATATTTCCATCTTGACTATTCATCAAGTCATCCATCCATCAACCAGTGACCCGTCAGGGCCGTGTGTTACCAGGAGGAACACCCTGCTCACATCTCATTTCTATATTACAGTAGCGTGAAAGAGACTAAGTAGACCTACCTAACCCCTGCTTATGGTGTAGGATAGACCTCAGATTAGTTCCTCTTCCACAACTCCACCTCTGAGTACTGTGGTCCGTCTCTTTATCTCCCTTGCCTTTCATTCTTATCAAATGTGTCTATATCATAATTCAGATATGACAATAAGTTCAGATGGGAGTTGTGTTCTAAAGCCAGTGTGGCAGGGGAGAATAGCCAAAATTGCTTTCGTAAATCCTGTAGGAAGATAGTGCCACACAAGAATCTGTCTCCCAAAGGCCCCTCACAGCTCTCAATATCAAATGACTTTCTGCTGCTGTGGTTAAAATGCCAGAGAAATCTTCATTTAATGCCAATATGCCCAGCCTAGTTACATTTGCTCGGAGATGTTTCCAAAATGACAGCTGTGAGACCAGCACTGAGCACTGTGGAGGGTGCACTGCCACTGCCACTTCAGTTGTCACTCTGGACCTGTGATCACTGAATGGCCAGTGTCAACCACTGCTGGAACCTTCTACACTATTGTCCCTTTCACAGAACTGCAGCTTCACTGACCCACCTGGCACTCGACTCTTTCAAATGGACATTACACTAGGGATTTTGAGCACATGAATTATGTCTAGTACAACACAACCAGAGCCTGGCAGGACAGAGCCACCTCAACAATCCCTGGGTGTACAAGGTATGTCACAATGCTCCTGTCTGCTCTTGAATCCCATGTCTATACTGTCCATATTCTGGTTCCACTCAGATCTCTTGTTCCATAAGGATAGGTTATGTCACACACCTGTCCCCTCCTATAGCATCTCTTCACTAGAATTATACCGAGCAAACATTCATCCTCCACACTGGACTCAAGCATTCTCTATTCACCAATGTGTTGAGTGGATTAACATCCCTACTTACCACCCTCCCTTCAATTTCATCCTTCTGCATTGAGTCTTCAGTGCCCCTCTAGTCCAGCCCGTGAGGTTCTTTGAATAATAGATCGTGAGTGAAAGTAACCTGGGAAAGGCTGGGAAGCGTGAGTGTTTATGCTACTGTCTTGCTTGTTGGCTGCCCCAGAGAGAACATTTCTATCTCATGATGATGGTCAGCACCAACTCTATGGATCCAGTCCTAGGGCAGTTTTCAATCAGCCAGATACCAGCTGAGCTGCAGACATGTGAGCAACTCCAGCCAGCATCATTATTATTCTGATAACATATGAGCTACTCTGGAGTCCACATCAGCTGTCCTCAAGACTCTTAGTAGTAGAGGTCTGCTTTGCTTAAGTATTTCTAAGGTTGCAGTGGAGGAACACTTCTCTAAAGACTTCCTGGTCCTCCTGAGGAAATTAGGCTGCTCTCTCACTGCTGAAAATGCTGAATCACGTGCTTCCTCTACTGTAGAGAGCATGCTTGACTACTATGAACGTCTGATGGAAGACTTGGAACAGGCTTGTTTGTTTGCTTGTTTCTCCTAAGACTGTCCTTGCCAAGAGCATCTCTGCAAGGGAGTGAGGCTTAGGCAAAACAGTTTGGGTACATCAGGATTAATCATGGCTTGGCAAGTGGGATATTTCTGAAGCTGGGCATCTGGGGCCTAAAATCATAAAATGAGGGCTGCAGCAGCAACTTTGCAGCCCTCAAGAGACATGCAAAAGAACAAACCCACAAAAACCCAGTGGCTCAAGGCAGGCCACTTCAAAGGTCTCAAGAGATATTATTTGGCTAAGTGAATTAATGACTTGATTGCTCCATAATATTCTCAGGAGGAGGCACCAGAAATACAAAATCTTTTATCCCATTTCTAACTCCTAATACCATAGCCACCCTGAGCATCCTTTAGCCTCTTATTTGATTTATAACTATGAAGGCCAATGTTATACTAAACCCACCTGTTATGATTAAAAAGTACCAAATACCTCAGAGGATAGTGTTTGCAACTTAATGTTGATGCAGTAGTTAAATGCACCTTACTTAATCTTTTATTTAATACCAAGAGTTGCTTTTTGTTTTGTAATTCTGTTCTTCCTACAGCCTTCTGGGGAATATGCGTACTGGCTTTGGGCATCTTGCCTGTGCTTGAGAAGGCCCATGAGTCTCCCAAGTGGGCTGCACTCCTCCAGGAGAGGAACAGGTACTCACCCTTCTGGAGGCAGGGGGCCCTCCTTCACAGTCACTGCAAGAGCAAGAGGCAGAAGGAAAAGGGGGTGTTGGTAGCAGGCTGGTTAAAGTGAATGATGCTCCCACCCTGGTACCTGGAGGACTGTCTGTCCCTATACAGGTACATGACCCTACACTTCATACTGTTATTTATGGGCACTTTGGCATCCTGAAGGACAGGAACCCCTGTGTGGGTTTAACCTCTTAATTGCTTGTTTTTACCAAATGGCCTGGCAGAGACAACTACTCAACATCTGTTGTAAATAACAAATGGTAAAAAATAAATGATCCAAATACTGTCTCACAAATGATTCCACAAGATTAGAGGTAGCATGGTCCCCCACTTCACAGGACAGGGAATTGAGGCCCAGTGAGTACCATGCTCAAACTGGTAAGGCTACTGGTAAGGGGCTGAGATCCATAAAGCCTATTTTATCATAATAGACTTAGGGTTTTGTTCTAGATAGCTATCTCCCTTTGGAGGCAACTGTTCAAAGCCTGAGTTCTTTAATGTTTATAAAAAAATCACCACTGGGTATGGTGGTACATGTCTTTACTCCCATCACTCAGGAAGCAGAGGAAGGCATATCTGAGTTTGGGGAAAGCCTAGTCTACATAGTGAGTTCCAGGACAGCCAGAGCTACACAGAGAAACCCTGTCTTGAAAAACCAACAAAAATAAATTAATTAAAACAAATCATACACTCTTCTTTGATGTGGACCTGGCCACATCACCACTACACACCTATGAAAGCTCTGTCCCTTCATGGGGACTTCTCTTAAAGGGTAAGACTGCAGGTGACCTGAAGTGCAGGTTCTCAATGTGTGGTTCTCTGGGCCAGCATGCCACTGTTCACTTAAAAGGCAAATGCTTGGGGTCCTCCAAGATGAGAAGCTCTGGGGATGAGTATTTGAGAGTCCTCAGGTGATTCTGATGCTGGCTACGGTATAAGAGCCACTGAGCGATGGAGACTCAACTGTGAAGTTGCCCAAAGCAGACAAATGAACAACTGAAGCCTGTATCAGCTCTGTTACTGCACCATCTGCTATACTGATAGCCACGGCAAAATAAACAGCACTGCCCGGCACCACAGCACATTACCCAGAGTGTGTATTCCCCCCCTCCTGTTCACTGGGGAACAGATGATGCTGAGGCAGGAACGCAAAGGACCAGAGGCATTCCCTTAAATATCAGAGGAAGAGTCAAAAAGAACACAGAAAAATAGCTTCCACAGAAGCAGAGATTCACAGCTAAGCACTGAGCCAAACTCCTGGAATCCAGCTGTAGAGAGGGAGGAGTGATGAGCAAAGGGGTCAAGACTATGTTGGGGAAACCTACAGAAACAGCTGACCTGAGCAAGTGAGAGCTCACGAACTCTAGACTGACAGTTAGGGAACCTGCATAAAAACCAAACTAGGCCCCCTGAATGGGCGTTTCGAGGGGTGGGGGAGAGGCTTGGGGTGTCTATGAGGCTACTGGTAGTGGAACCAAGATTTATCCCTAATGCATGAACTGGCTTTTTGGAGACCATTCCCAAAGGAGGCATACTCTCTCAACCTAGATACAGTGGGGAGGGCCTCAGTCCTGTCCCAAATGATGTGACAGACTTTGATGATCCCCT